GAGAGAGAGAGAGAGAGAGAGAGAGAGAGAGAGAGAGAGAGAGAGAGAGAGAGAGAGAGAGAGAGAGAGAGAGACGGCGCAGCGCGTGGATACCGACGTCGACGTGGAGGCGAGCGGGGACACCGACAGCGCAGCGAGGCAGCGGACGGGCGACGAAGGCGATTCCGGCGCGCAGCGCACTAAAAATTGAACGCGCGTTCAATGTTTTTGAACGCGCGTTCAATTTTTTTGAACGCACGTTCAATTTTGTTGAACGTGGGGTGGAGGGGGGGGCCTGTGCACGGCCCGCGACGCGTTTACGCCGCAGTGACGGGTTTCGAGGCCGTGGGGGGGGGGGGGGGGGGGGGGGGGGGGGGGGGGGGGGGGGGGGGACACCAGAGAGGCAGCTAGGGGTGGGCCCGACGAGGTCTGGTGTGGGGAGGGACGCCGGCGGGAGTTGGAGCTTCGTGGGACAGTCTAGGGGCTGACCGCTTCGGTGAACCCACCGGCGAGTGGGCACGATGCCGCGAAGTCAATCTCGGGTGTTTGAGGATGGGGGGGAGGACGAAAATCGGAAGGTGCAGAAGAAGTGCTGCGTGTACAAGTACATCCACGTGGGACAGAGTCTCGGCGAGAGATTCCGCGGCAATCGCATGTTGAAGTGCGTTTTCTGCCGCCACGAGTTCCAGGGCAACCAGTTCGTGGCGGCGCGCCATTTCCACCAGGGCAAGGGATGTCCGGAAGTGACAGACGAGGCACTTGTCGACATCCACTATAACAGTGAGTACAAGATGTCCGACAAGTTTCTAGAGCGGATACAACGATTTGAGGAGCTTCATGGTGCAGCGCCTGTGATGGACGAGGGGGGGGAGGGAGAGATGAGGGACGCGGGGGAGCAGATCGACGTGGACAACGACGTCAAGGAGGTTGCACGGGCGGGGTCGTCAGGGAGGGAGCGAGGGAAGGGCATTGTCAGCGAGCCGGGGGGGCAGCAGGGCCAGTACTTTGCGTCGGCGCACGTGTCGGCTCGTACACGGGCAGGTGCGGATACGACTGAGGCGGGTGCGTCTGCGGGGAAGAGGAAGGAGAGAGAGGAGGGGGACAGACCGACGGCAGCAGCCGCAGCACAGAAGAGGATGAGGCAGAACACGATCACGGAGTCATTCACTTCAAAGTGGCAGATGGAGTTCAAGAAGAAGTGGCTGCGGTTTGTGTACAGTCAGCGCCTGGCGTTCAACGTCTTCCGGAGCGAGCCATGGTTGGACGTCGTCTGGCACTTCAGGGACTTGCCGGGGCCAGTGAAGGTGTTGTGGCCACACGGCGGACGATGTGGGAGCTGATCTCGCGGAGGTCAGGGCTCCTTTCTATGTCACGGGGGCCACCATTATGTCAGACGGAAGGAAGTCACGCGGTGCTAGACCCATTGTTAACTTCCTTGTCGGCGGGTCGCATGGGGTGATGCTCGTCCGGACGATAAACAGGGAGGGTGAGCGGGATCGGGCGCCTGATGTGTTGGCGTGCTAGATCAAGGTGTTCGATGACTTCTCCCCTAAGTGGGTGAACGCCATCTGCACCGACTCCGCCTCGGCGTACGTCGCCGCGGCGAACTTGCTCCAGGGGCCCGAGCAGAGGCCGGAGCATCGACGGATCACGTGGCTCCCATGCGCAGTGCATGTCTGCAATAAGATCTTGTCAGACATTGGCTGTTCGGGCCCGTGGTCCAAGGACATCATCGTGAGGGGGGGAGCGGTGGTGCGCTTCATTAAGGAGCACGACGCCACTCTCCATATCTTCAGGGGGGAGAGCAGTCAGATGGGCCTCATCTATCCTTGCGAGACACGTTTCGCATCCGTGTTCGCGATGGTAGAGCGTTTGCTGGCAGTGAGGTCAGCTTTGGAGAGGACGGTGGATGGCGATACTTGGGGTATGGTCCCTTGGGACCATTCCGTTCGTCAGTTGGCTAGGTGGGTCAGGTGGCAGGTGCGACATGGCAGTTGGTGGGATTCCATGGGCATGTTGTTCCGTATCATGGAGCCTGTGTACGACCTGCTGCGCAGGTTGGACCGCGGAGGGCTGCACATGTCGCGGGTGGTTGAGTGGACACAGGATCTGGCCCGCCAGGTAGCAGAGGAGGTTTGTGCACTTCCCGCAGATCTTGCACACTACATTGTGCAGAGGGTGCAGGCTCGATGCGCTCACATGCTGGAGCTGGCGCACGCCGCTGCTCACCTTCTCTGTCTCAGCCGGCGGGACTTGCGGTACTTCGAGGGCGTGGTCAGCGACTACGACGCGAGCTTGGTGAGGGAGGCGGAGACTTACATCTTGTCGCAGACAGGGTTCGGTGTGGCGAGCCGCGACTACGAGACCGCATGTGCACAGTTGCACGACTTCCACACACGGAGGGGGACGATTGCTTGGGGGGGGAGAGATGGAGATAGAGATGCACAGAGGTGCAGGGGCGATGCGGAGACGTACGAGTCCGGGTGTTGGTGGTCGAGGTACGGGCAGTGCGCCCCGCAGTTGCAGGTTATCGCTCTTCGTATGATGTACATGTGGACGTGCTCCTCTCCTCCGGAGAGGAATTGTGCCGTCCACGAGGGTGTACAGACGAAGAAGCGTAACCGGCTTGAGTTCGAGAAGGTCGCGAAGTTGGTTGAGATCTCAGCCAACGTCCGCCTTCTCTCTCATCAGCGGGCAGGCCGCGGGTTCGCGCTGCCGTGGACTCTAGATGAGTCGTTGTTGGACGTGGAGGGAGGTATCGGGATTCACCCCTCGTGGAAGGGGACGGACGAGAGCAGGACGCGGGAGGAGGTCGAGGATCAGAGACGTTCATGGCAGCGAGACCCATGTGGGTCCAGAGCTCCTCCGGGTGATGTGGGCGATGTTTTTGGGACTCAAGCCGCCACATTGCACCCGTACCCTCGAGACGACAGTGATTCCGAGGGTCACGAGGACGAGGACGAGCCGACAGGCCCCGCTAGCGCCACTCCTGCGGCGGATGAGCGTGATGAGTGGAGCGATCCAGAGGACGTCCGTAGACGGAGTGGCGGAGATGACCTTTTCGTTCGAGTTGATTTGGAGGAGGAGTCTGGGGGTCGTCATGGGAGCCCTTCAAAGCGTCCGAGGCCTACGTCCACTGCCCCGCTTCTCGCTGAGCGGGAGACAGATCCTAGGTCTGCACCTTTGAGGGGGGCTGAGTCGGGGATTGGCCATCGTCCTCTGGGTCGCTCTGGCACGGCATCATCCACCGCTCTTCCCACTTCGACGGAGCAGCTTCATCGACAGCCAGCCGGTGCAGATCGATTGCAGAGATTGGTGAGGGTCCCGAGACAGCGATTGGAGGACAGATTGGAGGGTGGTCCTATGCCGGTGCAGGGTGACGACGGAGACAGACAGGGGTTGGTTGGTGGAGATGGTGGTGCGCTGGCCGGAGGTGGAGGCGGTGTCGAGGTTGATGCGGCGGTTGAGGGGATACCGATGGGCGGCGGAGGCGGTTTCAGTGAATTTGACGATATGGGTATGCCCCCGGGAGAGAGCGTGGGTCTTGCCTGAGGAGAGAGCGAGTCCCGTGGGGACATCAGTGTGGGTATGCAGGACTTACTGGGACAGATCGGCTTCGCGGACCCGAGTAGTTTCTCCCCTGCCATGCGCGCAGAGGTGATGTTGGGGGCAGAGGGGGATGAGGACCGGACACCCCCTGGAGAGACATTTGCAGAGAGGCTGGATAGGCTTGATAGTCGTCGAGCGTGCCTCATGGCACAGAGGGACCCCAGGACGCAAGAGCTCGCCCGTCTTGCGGCCGAGGACAGACAGAGGCAGCTGGGGACATATACGCCGGCGTCTGTTGACGTGGGGCCAGCTGCCCACACGGATACTCCGGCAGAGGTTCACGACACGACGCAGCGGGAGGCGGCTTCGGCAGAGGTTTCGAGCACGGGAGTAGATGTTCAGCAGGGGACGCACGAGAGCGGGTTGGCACCGACAGAGGAGCCACGTTTGGAGCCGGCGCAGCCTCCTGCCGTGCAGCTGAGGCCAGAGGACACATTGCAGGAGGTCCCGGGCATGCCTCTGCCTGCGGGTTCAGTTGAGGGTGCTGTGCATATGTCCCCGGGTCTGGAGGACATACAGACGGGGCAGTCAGTGGGCGTTGATGATATTCGCCCATCGGCACAGACGGAGGGGATAGCGCCGACCACCGGGGGGACGGGGCCGTAGCGGGGGCCGTTGGTGTTGGCGGGTCGGAGGTGCCGCCCGTGGCCGATCCGATGTCCACGTCTGGCGGTGGAGACCCCGCACAGGTGGACAGGCGTGACGCGGACGGACAGAAGATGCCACAGACTTTGGTGGTTCACACTGCTGTGGGGCCAGTGGGGCCACATCAGGCACCGTTTTTGGAGGGTTATAGGCGTCCTGCACATGGCGGTGGCCCGGTCGAGGAGCAACGTGTAGGCAGGGGCGCGTGCATACCCCCGGTCCCTACTTTTGCGCCGTCACGGACGAGGCCGGAGATCAGGCATGTGGCTACGCCTCGAGGCAGCCTCCCTTTTGGTTTTATGACCGCTGAGGAGTTGGAGGACCACGGCAAGAGGGATTTGACGGAGATCGACCAGCGCGTTTTGAGGTCAGTCCCGGAGGAGGGGAAGCTGCCTCACGTGCAGGACTTATCTTGGGGGCCAGCCAGCCCCAGCTTACCTTTTGGGTGTTCCATCGCAGCGCCATCTGGCGGGGCTTTAGGGGGCTTACCTTCTGGAGGTTCCGTCGCAGCGGCATCGGGCGGGGCCGCAGGGGACTTACCTTTTGGAGGTTCGGTCGCAGCGCCATCTGGAGGCGCTGCAGGCCCTTCGTCACCCTTGAGCGCAGCTCCGAGGGAGGGCGGCAGCCTCACCCCGAGGTGGGTTGCCCGTAGACGGAGACACACTACCCAGCGTGCGCGGGAGTTGCTGGACACCATAATGTTCGGTCGCACAGATCGACCATGGAGTGAGACGAGACGGGTGACGACAGTGAGTGCCGGTCGTCAGCCAGGTTTGAGAGGGGTTTCCACGAGCGTGAGACGTCGAGATGTTGTAGTTGCAGGGTTTGGTGGTAGAGGGGGTGGCGACGGTGGCAGTGGTGGCGACGGTGACGGCAAACGTGAGGGCGCAGGCGGTGCCACGACGAGCGCAGTGGATCCGCCGCTGACGTACAATTTGAGAGAGGCGTCGATTACTTTGGAGGAGCCTGGTGTTGTTACACGACTGAGGCAGGCCCGACACATGCCCTTAGATCGACGCCAGGAGGGGGAGACTTCAGGGACAGACGGTCTACCTATGGCACGCGAGTCACGCCGACGTGATGACCTAGCAGCAGCAGCCATCAAGACAGTGAGAGGCAGGAGAGTCATTATGCACGACGATCTCGACGAGCTTCCCGTCGCTCCCGGCCCTTCCGCTGGCGGATGCGGCGGCCAGCGTAAGAGAGATCGAGGAGGTGGCAGGGGTCGGTCCCACGGAGGAGTTTCTCATCGGTCCGAGCGAGATCCGCGTGCGCACGACGATCGTTGACGGATTACGGACTTGCATTTTCGTGACTTCCTCAGTGTACTTTAGTTTTTTGTTATCCATGATAGACGTAGTGTCTCGTGAGGTTGTATTATAGTCTACTTTCAAGTGGGTACTTTTCTGCGCAAACGTAGTCTTTCTTGATGTTGTATTATAGTGTACTTTCCAGTAGGCACTTTTCTCCGGTTTGCTACTTCGGAGATTGTTGTTTTCCAGTGTATTTTAGTGTGCTTTTTCGTCGGCATTTTCGGGTTGGTACTTCTTTCCACAGACTGGCAGGGCTTCGACACGATGTGTCAGATTTTTGCTATTATCCATGCTATATTGGTTTGCGTTTTGCTTCGTGTGTGTGTATTTGTTTGTGTAAATGGGTGGCGCAGTTTGGGGGGTTGTGCGTGAATTTCTGTGTGCATGTGCGTGTGCGTGAATTTCTGTGTGCATGTGCGTGTGTGTATTTGTGTAAACGTGTGCGTGAATTTCTGTGTGCATGTGCATGTGTGTATGTGTGTGTGTGTCAGTGTGTGTGTGTGTAAATGGGTGGCGTGGTTTGGGGGGTTGTAATTGTGGGCGGGGAAAAAAAAAAAAAAAACCGTCCCCGGGGCCCGGTGGGGAGGGGAGGTGGCGGGAGTGGGTGGCCCTCCGTTGGGTGGGGGTAGGGGAGT